CTTAATGAATGTCGCTATGTAATTTTACCTTTAACCCTTTCGTTCTTAGATTTCGCAATTATGGATATACTTCTTTATTTACAGAGATATATTTTTTAAGGCTACTCGGTAGATTCGCATCCTAGTATATATTAAAAATTTAAAAGAGAGATAAGTTTAATTTTAACGAAGGTTTCCAAGAAACTGTGCATAATTACTTATAAGAATTTATTTATAAAAAAATTTGAAATTTCTTTGAATAAATAAAACCTCTGTAATGAAGATAACGGAGAATTAATATTAAAAAAGTGAGAGAGAGAGAAATACATATATATATATATATATGTACAATAGGAGAGAAACATAACATCGAAGATAACGGAGAATTAATATTAAAAAAGTGAGAGAGAGAGAAATACATATATATATATGTACAATAGGAGAGCAACATAACATCGGTTCGTTTAAAGAATTTAATAGAACTTTAAATTTAATTTAATATAATTTATTATATGTTATATTATGTATGTGTGTGTGTCTCAAACGAAAGGTATTAAATATTACGTCACACAATTACTTTTATATATATTAAAGGAACAAAAACAGATCGATTACAAGCTTCTTGCCAATGTCGATTGCACGCAGCGCTTGCAAAAGTAACTGTGTGACGCAATATTTAATACTTTTCGTTCGAGAGAAGATGCGATGCAGTCTCGATGTAATTTTCCGATACTGCAATTCGAGGTAATAAAATGAGAAAAACGGGAAGAAAAAAGCGTGCTTGCCGCACGGTGGGTCGAAGAAAAGCTCCGCTTTTACGCATATGAGAGTAGCGTTGGAAAAGGAAGGAGATGACATGCGGGGCAAAACATAAGCCACTATATTTTAGCGAGAGGTTTCATCTTATACTCAATACTTACGACGAATATTTTGGTGACATTTTCAATGTGTTACCGTGAGATGCATCCGCGAAATTTTATCGATATTCTCCAATTCTGTAAACTGAAATACATATATGTTTATATCACGTTCAACATTTTATAATGTTATTATCCTCAAAACAAGGCGCACATTTTTCAAGAAAAAATAATTTTCTGAATTTGTGTAGTATATAATAACATTTCTCTTTTTTTCTTACATTTTTAAATCTTTATACAACGATACTATTTAATGACAATATTAGAAGCAATATTAAAACTTATTAGTCCATTTTAACTTTTAATTTCTTTAAACTCTTCATTTTCTTGTCTCTTTAAAAATTTTATTGTTATATATTATGTGAAGTTAAAATTCAATTCACTCTTAATTTTTCCATTAACGATGACAATTGGTATCCCATATTATCCGATAGATATGCCATTATATTGGTAAAATTAATCGATGTCTTCGAAAGCATAGTGGTTTTCCAACCACGATGTTATTAAATAACTTATCCGGATTAATATCGTCGAATTGAGCGAGTTTTATGAACTAGAAATGCGAACGATGAATTTAATATATTACATTGGATAAATTACTATATCGAAAGAATACTACTTTTATAACGTGAAATAATTATTTCATAGTTTTTCGAGACTACTATTCTCTCGTTATTATATATATATTCGATTGCACATCCTGGGGCTATTTTCGGTCAAAAGATGACTCAATAGAACCAAGGTGGTTGCGAACCTTGTTTGGTCTAGAAAAACGTGGGTGAGAACAGAAGCGAATCCTCTTCACATTCTTAAATAGAGACTTTTCTCTCGACTTTTTCTGGATTTCTTGAAGAAAATTTCGTGCGTGTCTTTCGAGCAGACGCGTCCTGAATCCGAAGACACATCGCTTCGTTCGAGTTCTCCACGCGACTGAACAAGCTGAGAGGCCGGGAACATAAGCTACTTGGATTTCAACGAGGAGTGTTGCGTTACTTTCACGAAAAGCGGACATCTTGACGACATTCTCCGCGTTCCTCGCTTCGTAATCTCTTCGAAGGTTTGCTTCCGTAGCTAACAAACACATTCGAGTGAGCGTCGCGTTTGTCTTGAGGAACTAAACAAACAAATCTACCTCGCGATGAAGGCTCTGTTCTTTGTCTCTATATCGCATTTCTTTTAAATATATAATAACCGTTGATTTTTAGTAAAACTTCACCTTTATCTTTGCGATATCGTTGTACTACCTTGAGCATCTTTGATAAGTGATTGCAAAATTCTTTGAGCGAAAACATCGAGACGACCAAAAGTCCTTTGTATTATACATCGCACTTTAGTCTTGTGTTCTTTAGATTCCTTTTCTTCAGTGGGTTTGCTGCGCCAGTTTCGTTGGAAATGAAATGACAAGAAAATAGTTGAAATGTAACTTTGGGAGACCCCAAGTTTTTGCATTTGAGTCGCTGCACAAGACGTAGCTGCCGTGACTTTTACATCTCTGGCGAAAATCAAAGAAAAACCGTCCGAGAGAGAAAAAATTTCATTTCTACTATTTAATTATACTGTAAATGAAGTGTATTTTACAAAACAGGGTGAAAATTGTTTATCTAAATTTTTAATTAACTTTACGTTATATCGGGACACTCTTTGTGTTTGTATGCGACAATTCATTTAGAGCGGTATGCATTGTCAATCATTATTTAACGAATAATAATTTTTTTAACTTGTTTGACGTGCGCGCGCGCAAACCGAGATTGTAAAATTTTACGTGGAATTTGAAATTAAATTTTTTTACGGTATATATGCGACTTCTTTTGAACAGTAGTACTATGTTAATCGAAGTAGGTCAACGCGCGTGCGCGCTGGTATGCATGAAAATATCAGTGATATTCGTCATCGGATTTCTTTCGAAAGAGTTTCGCGTTAATATGGAAACGAAAGCCGAACGCTGACGAGACTGACAAAAAGTACGACACGATTGAACAAACGGAGGGTGGTGAGAGACGGCCATCGACGAACGATTGGTTTCGGCGCCGCGGGCCATTAGCAAACACCTGAAGCTTCTCATCCTGCCGGAGTTCCTTTGCCTCGAACTTTCAGTGGAGAAAGAAGAGCCGGGGTTAACAAACTCATTCTTTCCGAGTTCGCTCTGACCCGTCCTATAGTTTTTAAACGTTTTTTGCCACCCACGTTAGTCGTGCCGGCTGCAATCCGGCGAAAAACCCGATTAACAGCCTGCGATTGGAATTGGGTGCTTTTTGCCCCGTATTGTGCAACTTTCCGCGGTATTTCAAGCGCGGAGAATATCGGCGGTTTGATTTCGCATTCGAATTTCCGAGCGAATTTCCTTTGAAATGAAAGAAATTTACAATTGTTAATTTGTATAATGTATCAGTCGATTGTGCGCGAAACATATCGATACAAGCGGAATTATTGCGTTAGAAAAAGATGAAAAAAAAGTTTCTAGCTTTTTCTGAAAATGAAAAATATTTCTAGCGTTGAAATGAGGTACCGTCATTAATTTCTGACACAATTAATTTTCACTTTATCGAAGTATTGAGTACATTACGCAATACACCTAAATATAAAAAAAATTCGATTGATATAATTGACTGCCATAATTGCTGTCATATTATTACATAGCCAGAAGATACCGTGTTTATAAAGTATCAACACGAGAATACGGATTCTTCGGTAGCATCCTTTCGTAAATTTTCTCACTTTGCTAAGACCTCGTATAACGTACATAAAAGGTTTCTCGGAAGGGTTTTTACGTTGCCGGTTACCAAGAGTATCGTTTTCTCGGAATAAAGTAATCAGTGAGACGAGCGGTTGGAGAGATGAGAGTGTGGGCTGAAAAAAATTGATGAGGGACTGTTGCAGGGAATTTTACGCCACACCGGTAGATCGTTACTTTGAAAAACCACCGTACTTGGAAGGATACTATAAAACGCGTGTCTCAAAGTCTATTAAACATTTTTAATGAGATGACGATATTGTATAGTATACCAAATAATTTTTCTTTATTATATCTTTTCGCATTCTCTTTATATCTTATTCTTATCATTATTTTTTTGCATTTATTTTATTCTCGTTGATATTCAATTTATTTATATTCGATTTTAAATGCGACAATTGAGAAATAAATGTAGAAAAGCGAGAGATTAGCTGTCGAGACTATTCGCGCGCGACGTAAGAAGTAATAAAATTGCATAAGAATAAAAAAATTGCGTTGAAAGATATTAGGAATGAAAGAAATTCTTTTTATGTATTTGCATAACTTCCCTAATGAACGATGTGATCAGTCTGCCTGCAAAATTTGCAATTCCCAGGCATCGATCGGATTTTCGTTCCGGCAGAAATTTCATCGCAAGGATGTACCTTCGCGTAACATACCAGGAACGAAGTAGAATTCCCGAAGGGTGTTCTATTAGAGTTCGTTCGTCCGTTCGCGGCAATCGACATCTCAAACAGCGTCCCGGATCTGAATTTCTGTATTCGTACCGGCTCAGTCCAGATTCAGCTTTAAACTCAGTCTGATAAACCCGAACTTGTCCCGGTAATGGGAACTCGTTCTCACGACGTTCCGTCGAGCGAGAAGAATCGATTTCCTTATGAAAGAGCGACACAAGCGAGATTTTATACGAGGAGCTAATAACGCTTCCGTCAGTTGTCGATAAAATTCTTTTTTTTGCTATATTTTGTCTTATCGGATTACTCTCAATTTGTCACATTATCGCATGGAAATCAAATTAATACAAATTTTAAACGATCATCGATATGCTATTAAGCTATCTATTACACGATTTAATAATTTCCATTATCAAATGTTCTAATTTATTTATTTAGGAGTTTTTTCTTATTTATTTATTTAGGAGTTTTTTTCCCATTTATTCTTTAATGAATAAATACAAAAATAATATAACATGAATTTTCTTTTTTAACTTGATATTGAATGTCGATTAATTAGCTATATTTTGTTACCTCCAATTTTTAAGAGACTTGATTATTCAGGGCTTTTAAGTTTTACTTCAACGCCAATGCTGCGTGACAAGATTTCATTAATAGCGACGATAAATAAATCTTATTAACGAACCTTATTGTTTTTAGCAGAATGCGCGGCCAAGAACGGGAGAGCGGTGGTGGAGCACCATCCGTCCTCTTACTGGGAGCAACCCTTTAGTCAGCCTTACTTCGACAACACAACAAAGAGGGAGACCACAACCACCGTCGGGCAATCCGCTTACCTGCACTGTAGGGTGCGCAATCTTGGCGATCGCGCGGTAAGTCCCAAGTTTCCTTATCAAGAGCTCGTCGTTGTAATAACAACGCCCGAGTTGGGGAACTTAGCATTTTGCCACGATGTGATCGCGAGTCTGTTAAACATCTCAAACGTCTAACGATTTTGATTTTGAAGATTATTCTCACCTTATGGGACATTTATTTATATTGCGACGTTATTCGAGAATGCATTTATTTATCGATTGACTTCAAAAAGTATTTTTATATTATTTTTCAAATGTGATATTTTTTGGGAGATTTGCACACTTTTTCCGTTTTTCTATTTGTATTTTCCGGCGTTTTATTTACCTCGCAAGATCGCAAGGATCATTTTTGTTACTTTTAATTTTCAGTAAAATTTATTCTCAAAGATTCATTTTATAATTAATTTACAACGTTCTTGCAGCACACAATAATATTATATTATTATATTAATATTATTTATTTCTTTACTAATTCAATTATGCATGGTTTTGACTGACACTTGCTCATGAGCAGATTAAAGACAAAACATAAGTTGAGAATACAAAAGTACCGTAAATTATTTTGCTCGAACTTTTGACAAATAGTCTTGCCAATGACGTCAGCGTTTTTAGAAAAAATCAATTAACCGACTAATCCGCTTATTAGGTAAATTATGCAAAGCTCGATGGACGCTTTAACGCTCGATTATACGTCAACAGGTTCTCGCGATTAAATTTTGCCGTTGCAAGGCGACTTGATGAAGCGGAAGCAGCGACAAACAAATTTGTCATTGCGAAATTAAATTGCTCGTTTAATTATCGCGAGATCCTCGATTATCTTTTTTTATTTTTTATTACGCAAAGTGTGTGTTTTTTTTTCCAGATTCTATCGCGTCCGATTTTCGCTGACATTGATAAATTTTCGTACGCGCGTGTATTCGACGATCGCACGATCCGAAATTGAATAGTTACGTGAACTGCGTCGACGAGGCATTAATCCGCGATCGTTCTGCGATAAACTTGGGTGTTCTCTTTGCTAATGCACTTGCGCGACTTACAGTTCGGAGTTCATTCCTCATTTATCCGGGTGACGCGACGTCGCGTCGCCTCGCGTTTTTACAGTAACCTAGTTCACAGCTTTGCACGACGGCCGAGGCCTTTGTAACTCTTTTTCGCAATCTTTTTTCTTATAACCCCTGCTCCGTCTGCGCAAACTTTCAGGGTGAATATAACTTTTCACAGTCCAACGCGCATATACTTTCTTGCACATATTTAGAAAGTTACGGGAAGACATTAACATATGATCTCGTTAACGTCGAGATATCTCTGGCTATGGCTATCATGCTGTAAAATGTCATTTTTAACGAAATTCTAACGAAGTTCGAGAAAAGAAGTAAGAAAGTATATGTATATTTGATATTTCTTAAACATTTATTAAATGAATACAATCAAACCGTGCCGTAGAAAATTACCTCTTTGTACGATGCTTTTAATATTATATTGCTGCGAGAGAACAAAAGAGCAAATTTTTGCGAGAAAAGTAATTTATATTTTTCTTCTATTCTTTAATAACGGGTTAATTTTTTTTTAAATAAAATATACGTCACTGCTTATATTTTGTTAACTTCCGACTATTGTTTGTATTTGCACAAAGTGGTAAAATGTGGTGTATGAGCGAACGTTATAAAAAAAAGTTCGAAGTGGTGGAGTATTGCATAAAATACATAGTTGCAGGGAATATACATATATATTTATTTTTCGGGCAGTTTGGTGGATCGGCAAGCGGTTCGGGCTGTTTAACCCGGTATTCATCACTCGCGGTCCTAATGCAAAGTAATTTCGCGGATAGGCGCATAGGTCACCCGGGCGAATGGTGACATTACGCGTTATCGGCCGCTGCTCATGCATCACCGCATGACGCACAGGAACCCGTCAGAGTCCAATCACCGATCGTAATCGCCAATAAATCAAATTTCTCTCCCGGCCTATCCCCTCTCCGTCCTCTTCCGACAGAGTCCCCTTTTAACTCCCCCGCGTCCATTCCGTTCGCCATTCACAGCCACGCCATCGGCCCTCAATAACGCGCGCACCTATGTATGTACATACATGCGTCTGAACGTTTATATCTGGGATCGTAAAATCAACGTGATCGACGCAGATTGCACCGTCCGTCGCGATCGCGTTTCGCCTCAGGCTAACTTCACGCTCAAATTATGGATTGTCGTATAACAGTCGGTATCAGTCAAAGGTTGCATTCACGTGCATGATATTATTTAGACGATCGGAAACTAAATCGCGATTAAGAATTTATAAATTTTAGAGTTCTCTTATTTATGTAGGAGAAAAATATAATTTAGCAAGAGAGATCTTTTCTGCTTCGATATTATAAATTTGCGTAAATGCACGTTCGAAACCCATCGTGAGATGAAAGTTTCACAAGACAACTTACCGAACTTCCCGGCTTCATGTCTAGTTTGGTGTATCTTGCAACAGCAGGTGTTTCTTGATTGCGCAGGTTTCATGGATCAGGCAACGGGATTTACATATCCTTACTGTCGGCATTCTAACGTACACAAACGACCAACGTTTTCAATCGCTGCATAGCGATGGCAGCGACGAGTGGACTCTGAAGATCAGTTCGCCGCAAGTACGAGATAGCGGGATCTATGAGTGTCAAGTCTCGACGGAACCCAAGATTAGTCAAGCTTTTAACTTGAGCGTAGTAGGTGCGTACACGTGTCTCTTTTTAAGAATATTTTGACGATTTCTCAAGTATATTATAAAAAAGTATAAAAAGTTATAAAATAAATTATACAATCGAGATCACACACATCACTTTTATACTGCATAAATTATTTAAAAGTAATAAAAGTAATTTTACAATGTCACGTCCGCGTAATTTTCGTTGATAAAAATAGAAGAAGGAAACTGTGAAGATAGATGTCGGGATTGCGTTTTAAAGCAATTACACAAGTTCCATACTGCGCTCAATACCAGTTTCCGAAGCCGTTTGTTTCCTAAGTGAATTTTTAAGCGGCCGCCTTCGACGCGAGTTAATTGCAGCTTTGCGACAATTTAAGGAAAATTTGTGATCATACTTTTTGGTTCGGGTTTTACTTGTCGATTCGGCCGAGCGTACTCCGGCCAAAAACCACTTTAACTTTGTTCTATTCCCGTGTGCAGTCTCGAAGGCAAAGATCAACGGCAATTCAGAGCTCTTCATCAAAAGCGGGAGCGACATCAATCTGACCTGCATCGTGCTGCAAACGCCGGAACCACCATCCTTCATCTATTGGTGAGTTCGAGCGTTCTCCCTTGACGATAGCGCGATTGAATTTGTTCCACGTATATTTCGACACGGCCGAGTTTTGCGAAATCCAAATTTACAGTGACCTCCATTCGACGGAATCTGCTTTATCGAAAAATTTCAACACGGATGCCCGGTAAAACGAATCTCCGATAAAGTGAATCTCCGACGGAGTTACGCTCCTTGAAAAGTTATGTTTTTTAGAGTATCCATAGATCTCTCGCAAATTCGCGCTGATTCGCATAAATCCTCTCGCTTCTTTTTACATACGCACATGAATACTTACATCGTAATATCCGTGCAATTTAATTTTACATATTTTATTCAACTTGATAGGGAGTTTAAAAACAGTTGTTTTAAGATTAACTTTATTTTACATTCTATGCTACATTACTAACGGCTCGAATTATTCTCGATAATTTTACAGGTACAAGGGCGACAGTGTGATAAACTACAGTCAACGCGGGGGCATTAGTGTTGTGACCGAGAAACAGACGCGAACGTCACGTCTTTTGATCAGCAAAGCGCTGCCAACCGATTCCGGCAATTACACCTGTGCACCATCCACAGCCGAATCAGCCAGCGTCCTCGTCCACGTGCTTAATGGTGGGTGAGTCATGAATAAAATTATCGAAAATATTTGCCGAAATGTCACGAGATTATTCTTTTATAAAAAAGTCTTTTTGGGTATATTCTCGATGCTGACATTTCATATAAACTTTAAACAGTTATTATTGTCAATAATGTCAGCTAAAAATATTAATACAAATATAAATGTTACAATTGCATAAGATATATATTCCAACATCGAGCGATTTATAAGAGTATCAACATTTCGCCTCATAAAATGGTTTTACATAATTCATCCACTGTATACGGTATTTTCAGCAAATGATCGTTTTCGAATTGATTTGAAAATATAAATGTGAAGATTACAGAATAAATCGTCGCCATAATAGTTTTTCTATAATTATCGATATAATTTTTTCTAATTTATATATCGGTTATATACATCGAGATACGAAAGAGTAGCATATAATCAATTGCGATATTTGCCGTTAAATTTAACAAAGGTTCTCGTAAGTTTCGCCAGAAACGCGGAAGTATAAAGTCAATTAATTAATTCCGACAACTTTGTACCCATTTTAATCAAGTTTCCGGCGAAACGTTTTCGATATTACTCAAGTTGTGGACCGCTTGAAGGGACGCTGAAGAGAAACAATTTCTATCGCGTCTGAATTAAATAATAATACATCAGCATAAAATGTGTGCGTGCGTACACGGCGAGAAAGTTTAGACGTACATTCGATCCCGACGCAGGCAAATCGGCAAAATAGATTGAAATTTTCTGCGGCAGAAGCAAAACGGCAGAATCACAAGAAGCGAAATTAAATCGCTCGACTGCACGTCATTGATTTTCTCTGAACTCGCTCGATTGCAGCGTGCAATCTGATTTACTTGTAGTTTATTTTACGAATCTTGCATATTCCTTTGAGCGAAACATGTATTTGTAAATTACGTAATTGGAATCATATAAGAATCTTAGAGGAATAAAAATTTCAATTTATCTCAAAGACGGTTCAATAACAACATAAGAGAGAGAGAGAGAGAGAAAGATTCGTTATACAAGCTTAACAATTTTAACAATTTAACTTTCTATACTAGTTGTAAGAACATCAATTATTACGCATCCTCTAGACGGAATTAATCTCGCGTTTGCCGTTATTCGTAAGAGATTTACAAGTAATTACTGCGAGGAAAGCCGCGCCGAGAACTTGCCGGAATGAAACTCTCGTCAAGCAAACTATATATGTACTCGCATCTAACGACAAACTATGAAGTCTCCAACTAACTCCACCGTTCCCTCATGCCCTCTTATGTTTGTGCGCAGAGTCATCGAAATTAGGTCCGCGGCTTCATTTGAGAACTAATAGGTACGACGTCATGATGATCGAAAAACATCGGTGAATGGTCATAACTTTGATTAAATCGCGCCAACGAATAAATTATTTCGCCGGAATCACGAAATGTAATATATCCCCGAGTTTCCCTCGTCGAACAAGTCGATTAAATCGGGGCGCATCCGACTTATTAATAAGGGACGCTAATCAAACATCTGTGTGACGTTGTATTTGTCAACGTCCCTGCCATCTCTCTCTGTGTTGCTCGTCCCCAAATCGTCACACTCATCATCGCTATTTTCCTTTGGGTTTAACGTAATGTAGCAAGGACGAAAATTACAGAGTTCTGAAAGCCTAATCATTCAATTCGGCTGATTCATCCACTGTCACCCTCGTCAAGATAGCATTGACCTCGGACCCGTTCGCAAAATCGCGTACAACGTGCGTACGTACGAGAGCTTAGAAGTAACAGTCAGAATTCATCTCTCTGACATGGATCTTTTGTCGGCGGTTATATTGTCCACTGAGAGTACACGAGGGGGAGGGGAGAGCCTTTACAAAAGTCAACAAGAGTCTCGTTTTATTGCGTCAAAATGGCTTTCCGGGTAACGTCATTTAAATTGTCGTAACGGACAGAAATACATTTTTAAAACGAAGTAGCAACTACGAGCGTGACGGAGTCAAGTTTTTTTTTTTTTTACGATGTTTCATCTAGATTGTCGCGAAACGAATACACGTTGACAACGACATCGGACACGTTATCGAGGAACGACTGTAGTCGGACGAACGCGAAGTCACACGATATCTCGATTGCGAGAAAGCTCGCGGCGCGAAGGGACGGTCACGGGGGTGAGAGTAAGTGTAATCTGACTTTACGGACCGGGCCGTAAATCCCACGGGGCTTGAAGGAGGGTTCGGGAGAAGAGTATTCTACCGATAAACTAAATGGTAAAGGCTGTAAACGCGCGTCGTCGGTCGTATAGCGTCGCGTCGATGCACTCCGCTCAGCACTCGTGATCGCGCGTCCCCGCGTACAAGCGGCAATAAACCTGATATTCTCGTCGAGAAGAAAGGGAAGGAAAAAAAGGTCGGCTCTCCCCTCTTTATTTCGCGGCGCGGAACGCCGAAGAAATAAATCCTTCGGACACGTCTGCCCTTTTCCACCTCTTCGGGCTCAGGGGGATAAATCAGTCGAGATATTGTCCCATGCAAATCCCTGCCGGGTTACCGTCGGTTACCCGGCATGATGTGTGCTCTCTCCTTCCATCGTACGTTCGTTCCTCACGTCCGCGTGTCTCGTCGTGGCACGCGAGCACTCCTGAGATATGCACGTCAAGTGGCTGCTCGGCGGTGTGAGAGATCGCGCAAACTGTTATAGGTAATATCTTTCTACGTTTTCTCTCTCTCGCTCTCTTTCCCTCGTTTCTTTCTCCACTACTTCGATTCCCGTGCAGGTAATACCGAACTTATCGGAAGTAATACCGCAGTTATCGGAAGTACTACCGCAGTCATCGGAAGTAAATCGCGGCGGGCGTACACAGCGGATTTGGGGCAAACGTTTGCGGCCCGGAACGCCTCTCCGGGCGGCTTCGGTTAACCCTTTCAGTGTCGCTTTACTCTTGATATTACGATTATTTTGTGTATTTCTTGAATACAAATTGCAATGTTAATCGCGGGAGATACATAAATGGAAAAATTTTGAGAACCGGCGACCTGAACTCAAGTCTTAATTAGTTTAGACCGACTTGCAGAGAGAAACGATTTTCCGCATCGCGACTCTTTCTCTCCGCGATTTCTTTTCGCGCGACAAAAATTTTACGCAGCGCGAAAGGATTGTCGAGAAACGTCCTGGGCGCGGAGACGTAAGTCCCTGTAATCTCCGCGGGACTTATCAAAGGACTTCGTTACTGCGTGATGTACTGCAATATCCGTGAGTTAAATTGTGGAAGTTACGGGAAAGCCACCGTATATACGCGGAATACGTATTTACCCCCGACCACAGTCTGACGATGGTTGTACATAATGGCACCGCATGTGCGCGGGCAGAGACGCGAGTAATATATCTTTCTCTCTCTCTCTCTCTCTCCCTTTGCATTTCAACTTCGACTTTCTCTCCGGGAAGACTTTTGATCAGAACAATATGGGAAGGATAATGTCGGCGCGGAGATTAAAGCGCGAGATAGCGCGTATAACGCACACTCTCGTAATAACTCGCGCGCACGTGGCCCTCGAAATTTCAGTAACGAGTTTTGCGGCGTGTAATAACAAGGCGGTCCGCAGGCGTATTATGCGTAATTAGCCGCGATAGGGAAGTAACTCTGTGCGTGGAAGATACACACGTCTTCAAGAAAGCTCCGTCCCGATCCCGAAAATCTACATACATAATTCAGCCGTCGAAATATCTGACGGTGCGCGGCGCGTTTCCGCATCGATACACTGTATGGTGCCGCACATGCAATTTTGATTAAATTATTTCTGCCTTGCTTATCATTGCGCACGCGGTCTAATACGCGGGACGGATTATTTTGCAATTGCCTCGTCGAACAATATTGCTTCTACGAATTCGAATTTTGACACGTGACGCACTGTCGTCCTTTTTGCGTCTTCGACCTAGTATAATTATGATCATGACAGAACAATGGAAATATATCGTTTCATCGACACAGAGGAGAAAATAAATAAGAATCAAAAATTCAATATATATTAATTTTATTTTTTTAAATTTCTATAAGTTAATTTATAAAAAAATGACATAAGTAATTTAATTCGCCCATTCTTCATCTTGACAATGACGCGTTCGTGACTTTTAGGAAACAGAGCTATTAATATTTATATGAACGTTCTCGTCGTTAAATCGGTAAGCACGTGCAGCTTGCGCGAAAATAATAACGTGCAATTTATCAGCGCGATTGTAGCCGGGACAGTAGATGTCGATACATCTGCGCGGCCTCGGTTAACTTTCCAGCAACCTGAAACGTTGCCAAGTTCTTCGACAAGGCGTAGAGCGATAAATTATACATGCTCCCCGTACTCCATAGAAATCAATTATCAATTATGAGACGGGATGCTATAAAACGTTTTCTCTTTTTACGTAAATATCTGCGACGCGAATCATAACTCTTAACGCCTGTTTGATAACTATTAAACTTGATTAATAATCAATATTTCTTAAAGAAATATGGATCTGTAGATAATTTGAAATTCAAAATATTGTAGCGTTTAAAAAATAAAATATGATTTTAAAAGAAGCATAAATTTGATGAAATGAAAAGAAATGCAAGGAATATTATAAGTTTTGTAAGTATCATATTTATCGATTTAAATCTGATGTTATAGGAAAGAATATTATTATTCATTTTTATTTTCTATCAAATTTTTGCTTAATACAACTTTAAAAAAAAATAAAAATGTTTAAAAAAAAAACAATGGTTTTATTATGCACTATTAATTTTGAATTTTGTATGGCATTGTATATAGAAAATAAATTATTTAGAGATATTTTTCTGGAAAGATATTGCACGTGCGTACGTCATGCAAACTTTACAAAATCTAATGAAAACATTTACTTGATGAAATATTTAACAAAATCATAACGCGCGTTATATAACATTTTAATTTAAACATTTAAATCGTCGCTTTTATTGTATAATATTCTGTAAACTGTTTTCCAACAATTATTTATTTTAAAACTTTATTATATAAGTTCACT